GAATAAAAAATGGTAAACATAGCACGATACAATTACAGTATTAAGTTTAGAACTTTAACTTCTGCTAGTTCCACTTACGTATACATACATATATATATTTATGTTACCCCTCGATATGAATATATTATACCCATTTTATGTGTACTATTCCTTTGTATTTCACATATGTAAAGCATAGAGATTCATTTTCACATGATTACTGTTGATACAGGAATACTGTTGATCTGATTTATATTATAGCAGATTTAAATTCTATCCGCGAAATGAGTGAATATTCTTCAAGGAAACGAATTTATATATGAAAATGTTGAAATATAATCATCATCATAACGAAACGCATAAAGATCCTATCATATTTGTGATTTAAAGCGCATCTAGTTAAAAATCGAAAATTTTTAACTCAATTATTTCCGATTGCGCGTATTATCAGCAGTAGAACTTTAATGAGAGGATTTTAATGTACTAGTTACAAAATCTGGTTCCATTAACTTTGATAACTAGGTTTTGATAACTAAGGGAAGCGATAACTAGGTTACATCGATGCTTTGAAAAAAATTACTTATCTAAATTCGCTTACTTATTCGTAACTTATTTATTATACTTATAACCATCGTGACAATTCTCTGCACAATTTAATATAAACATTTATACTTTATCGTTTGACGAAGTAAAATACAAAGAAATATACTAAGAATAATTATGAATGCACGGGGCCAGTGCAACGAAACTTGCATCGGATTAAACAGACACAATTTACAATGTAATAATTATATTTAATATGTTTAATTTTAGTACAATTATAGAGATAGAAACGAAACATCGATAACAAAAACATATAACGCACGAGAGTGCACGAACGTAAATCCTACATGATCGTTGACATCGTAATCATTGTGGAAATTACTATAATATTTATTTTTACATTTTCTTAACATTCTAAACATTAATTAAAGTTCGTACACCAAGGATAAAGAATAAGTAGACGACACGGATATGCTGTGCCCTCGATAAAAAGAAAAGTATCAGTTAATTGCTTATCTGAACGTGAGAGTAGAAAGATTCAAACATTGAATTTTGTGTGGAATTTCAGTGAGAGATTTTCCTGATACATACATAGCTATATATAAGATGGAACTCACGAATAATATTCAAGCATCGTTTTTTTTTGTTACTCGATACCGTTAACTGCAGGATTCGAAGACACCAGTGTGTGATTATTGTGGTTTTGCTGATGACCCTCCACGTTTGTTACTTTGGAAACTGTTGGACGACCAGCTAGAAAAGCTGCGAACTGCTCCTGTAAAAGCAATTGCTTGTTGTTAATAGTGACGCGAGCACATGATAGCCAATGAAAATTTATAATAAGTGTAGTTCACATTGTTGGAGTGAATTTTTATGTTAATAACATCTTTATACGTGTGATTTGTCTATGTTAAAATTTTGCATAACACATGTGAAGATCGTAATAATATTTCATCACACTTTCAACAATTTTAAGATTTACGAGTCAGTGACGCAAGTTCCTTTTCTTCTTTTTCTTTCTATTAGGCTTTGGGATTAGATATAGATTTTTCCTATATCTTAAAAACCTAATAATAAATTGATCGTTGAATAAATCGACATTGATTATACTGTCAAAGTGGTGAAAACTACGAACTTGTAATTTTGATTAGCGTATTGTCAGAGATTTAGATTGTATTGTAAAATTTCTCTGATATCTCTGATATTGAAAATCTGTTGCTTTAATCGTCGTTGGATCGCCATATATATTTTTCGAAGACTGGATACCAAATACGTTTCTTTCAACTGTGGTATAATCAGTCTACTCTCTCCTAGTCGCCAATTAGCACAAAGATCGACAAAAGTTATCATGTTCTCCCATGTGATCATCACGTGCGATTCGTTGGCAACGAACGTGTTAAATATTTCAACTTCCATCTACGTACCAGCAAACGATTTGCAATTGAGTTGAGCCTGTCTATGACCGTATATATCGCTGAGATTCTCTCTCTCCCAAGAATCTTCTTGCCAATGGCCGACATCATCTCGAAGGACAGAATAAACAATAAGATAGCAAATAATAAGAATTTTACCAATGAATGCTCAAACAGTTCGGAGTTGATGAGTTTTTTTTATTTACCTCGAGGGTAGCATCGACAACCACCGACAATTGGCAAGCAACTGTAATGAGAAGTCTGGCAAGACTGCTTGGAGCTTTCGATGCTAACGCTGCCGTCCCATTCACCAGATGAACAATACGGCGCGCAGATTCACGCGTCAGAAGAACCAACAACTGCTCCAGAGTGGTTGGCCTAGCTTGATTCTCTGGCTCGGGCAGGCTCAACGTTTTCCAAAGTTCTTTCGCCTTTTGAAACGCTAGTTTTGGATCCGTTGCTAACTGCAAGCACAGATCCGCGGATTTTCATCACTTGCGTAACAATCATTAGTTGGTAGGTTGGGATAGCTCAGTCGGTAGAGCATCAGACTCTTAATCTGAGGGGCCAGGGTTCGAACTACCACCCTATTCGGGCGGGAAAAAAAGATATTGTCTTTTAGGACAACAGCACGGGAGGGAGAGCTCTGTGTGTATAAAAAAAGGTCCCGGAACTCTCCCAACGTGCGGAGGACGGCCATCGTGGAGATTTTAGTCGGTAAGAATCCGACACTACCTGGGTGTCTTCCCTTAAAAGACTCAGGTGTCTTATGAAGATTTCCTCCACGTAAAAA